ACATTTCTATCAAATGGAAAAGAATTAAATGCTCCAACCAAAAGACAGAGTGGCTCAATAGATAAGAATACAAGATCCCTACATATGCTGTCTACAAGAGACTCAATTCAGATTAAGAAAGACATACACAGACTAAAAGGAAGGGGATGGAAAAAGATATTGCCTCTATGGACTTAGAGGGTATTGTGCTGAATGAAATAAATCAGATAGAAAAAGACAAATATCACAGATTTCATGTACATGTGGAATCTAAAGAACAAAATAAACAACAATAACAAAAACAGAAATAAACTCATAGATACAGAGAATATTTTGAAGTCTACTAGATGGGAGGGGGAATTAGGGAAAAAGGCAAAAAAGGGCTAAGCAATTAAGTACTAATGGATAATTACAAAACAGAAATTGAGATATAAAGTGTAGCATACGAAAAATGCTACAATGTTAACAATGTTGTAACAAATATGTAAGGAGGAAGAGGGGCACTAGATTTAATGGGGTGATCACTTTGTGAGTTATATAGATCTCTAATCACTACGCTGTATGACTGAAACTAATATATTATTGTATGCCACCTATAACTGAAAAAACTCACTGAATTGTACAGCATAAATACGAGCAACTAGTTGTCTATTATATTTCAATAAAAAACATCTATAATTCAAGGGAAGAGATCAAAATATCAACAATAATAGGAATCTAGAAGAAATTGATTCCCACCCTCATGAATGACTTTGAGGGGTCCAAGACATCACTAGAGGAAATAACTGCAGCAAGAGAACTACAATTAGTTCTAGTGGCACCTGAAGATGTGTCTGAATTCCTGCAATCTCATCATAAAACTTTAACAAATGAGGAGTTGCTTCTTACAGATGAGCAAAGAAGGTGGTTTCTTGAGATGGAATCTACTCCTGGTGAAGATACTGTGAAGATTGTTGAAATGACTACGAAGTGGTAAGGTTTGAGAAGACTGACTCTTGAAAGTTCTAAAATGCTATCAAACACCATTGCATGCTACAGAGAAATCATTTGGGAAAGGAAGGGTCAACTGATGCAGCAAACTTCGTTGCTGTCTTATTTTAAGAAATTGCCACAGCCTTCAGCAACCATCATCCTGATCAGTCAGCACCCTTTACCAGCAAAAAGATTAAGACTCACTGAAGGCTCAGGTGATGATTAGCATTTCTTTCACAATAAAGTACTTCTTAATTAAGGTATGTACATTGTGTTTTTACACATGATGTTGTTGCACACTTAATATACACTGGAACACACACAAAAAAATTGTATAACTCACTTTACAGTGATATTTGCTCTACTGTAGTGGTCTGGACCAAACCCTCAATCCCTGAGTTATGCCTGTATTACAAACTTATAGTAATAAAAATAGTATGATATTGGCAGACACATAGATCAATAGAACAGAACAGACAGCTCAGAAATAAACCAACAGCATGTATTATCAATTAATTTATGACAAAGGATCCAAGAATATACACAGGTGAAAGGATGGTCTCTTCAATAAATGGTATTGGGAGAAGTCAGAAACATGGCAGTGTGAGAGACGTCCCCAGGTTTCTCCACTTGAAACAATAATAAGCTGAATATCTAAAACTTGGCCAAAAAAAAAACCACACAAACAGCACACCAGTACATATGAGCATAAAATCTGTTCATAATAGCTACCACAGGTAGGATCCCCGGGATCCAAGTAGTAGACTAGGAGAAACAAAGAAGGTAACTGTAGCAACCAGAGCTCCCTGCAGGAGGAGGGGGAGAGAAGAAGGTGCGGCAGGTCCCTGAACAAACCTGCCTGGGAGAGCTGAGAATTCCAGCAGCCAGCAACAGCACCAAGGAATCAGGCAGAAAGCAGAGAGGCGGGGAAGGCAGAAGAACAACAGGTGATTATTACCAGCCACTGTTGCAAAATGTAAAGCTGAACTGCAGCCCCCGTCCCCAAATCCAGGGGCCCCTCCCCCCATATCCTCCAAAAAGAAACACCACAGAGCCCCAAGGGAATCTGAGGAAACACTACCGAAACTGTTGCTAACACTGACAGGGACTGAGACTGAGGGTAGCAAGTGTGATTGAATATCTATAAGGGAAAAAAAGGCATTATTAAGACTTAATATAAAGCAAGAATTCAAGAGGCTTAGACACCAGCTACTGGAAACCAAAAAAAAAAAAAATGCCTTCTTTGCAACAGACAGACCTTTATATAATAAACCTTCTTTCTGAAAAACAGCATAATACACTGCTATTAATGCCCAGACAGAAAAATAGTACATTAAACACCATGAACAACCAAGGTGACAATGCACCTCAGAAAAAGAGAAAAATATCCAGAAAATACGCTTAAAGACATAGAAATATGCAACTGGAAAAATAGAAAATTCAGGATGATAATTCTGAAAAAACTCAATGAGATCCGAAACGAATCATATCAACAATTTCAGGAATTGAAAAAACAACTAGATGAGCAGAGCAAGGAGATTGAAACCCTTAAGAAGAACAGAATAGATCTACTGGACATTAAAAAAAAAAAAAAAAAACACTGCAAGAATTAAAAAATGAAATAACAAGCTTGGGAAATAGAGTTGACCAAATGGAGGAAAGGATCAGTGATATCGAAGACAGAAATCTAGAAATAAATCAAAAGGAAGAAGAGAGAAACTGAAGAATGAAAAATAATGAAACAGAAATACAAGAACTAGCTGACACCATCAGGAGAGGAAACATAAGACTAATGAGAATTCTCGAAGGGGAGGAAAAGGAGAAGGGATTAGAAAGCATTTTCAGACAAATAGTTGACGAGAATTTCCCAAATCAATGGAATGAGCTGAAGCTTGGAATTCAAGAGGTCAACAGAACACCCAATTATCTCAACCCATAAAGGCCTTTTCCAAGACACATTGTATTAAAATGGTCAAAAGTCAACGGCAAAGAAAGAATTCTCAGGGCAGCCAGGGGATAAAAGACAGTAACCTATAAAGAAAAATCCATTAGATTATCATCGGACTTCTCAGCACAAACCTTACAAGCCAGAAGGGAATGGAATCAAATATTCAAATAATTAATAAAAGGAACTATCAGCCTACAATAATGTATCCAGCTAAGCTCTCCTTTAGATATGAAGGAGAAATTAGGATCTTTCCAGACATACAAAAATTGAGGGAATTCTCCACTACGAGGCCTGCACTACAGGAAATACTGAAAGGGGTCAGCTCACCTAAAACAAAATGACAAAAAAATTTCACAATTAGAAGGTGACTGTCAGACAAATAGAAGCAGAGGACTGCAACCCTTACTAAAAATAGAGCATTATAAGCTTACAAAATAAGAAGAGATTTCCTATAACAAGATAGTAATGAATGTTGAGCATACATAAGGACAAACTGAGACAACAATGACTGAAAAGGGGAAGATTCAAAGATTGAAAGAGGAATGGAGATAAGGCACGTGCAGAAAAATGAATGACTGTATATATATAACTGTCCTTTACATGTTCGTAATGGTACCCACACTCCAAAGATTCAGAACTAAAGTATATAACATAAAAAGAGAAGAACCAGAGGGAAAACCCACAAAAGCCAATCAAAATAAAGAAAACAGAAACACGAAAACAAGGAAGCAATGAAAACACTGAGCTACCAGAAAGCAAAACCTAAAATAGCTGTAAGAAGACCTCATATTTCAATAATCACCCTAAATATAAATGGACTGAACTCACCAATAAAAAGGCACAGAGTTGCAGATTGGATCAAAAAACAAAACCCAACTATACACTACCTCCAGGACACACATCTCAGTTCCAAAGACGAATATAGACTCAAAGTAAAAGGGTGGAAAATGATATTTCTAGCAAATGACATTAGGAGAAAGAAGTAGCGGTACTAATATCAGACAAATAGACTTCAAAATAAAAAAGGTAAAGAAAAATGCTGAGGGACACTTCATTGTGATAAAGGGAATCATGCACCAAGAATACATAACACTTATTAATATCTATGTTCCCAATCAGGGAGCCTCGAAATAAGTAAAGCAATTACTAACAGAACTAAAGGGAGAAACGAAAAAGAAGAACAAATGAAGCCTAAAGTCAACAGAAGGAAAGAAATAATCAAAATTAGAGCAGAATTAAGTGAAATTGAAAATGGAAAAAAATTGAATAAATATTTGCAACAAAGCTGGTTATTTGAGAAAGTTAATAAAATTGACAAAACTCTGGCTAGATTCACTAAAGAAAAAAGAGAAAGGACACGAATAAACAAAAACAAGGAAGAAAGAGGAGAAATGATGACGCACACCGCAGAAATACAAAGAATCATACAATAATACTATGAAAAGTATGTAACACCAAATTTAATAACAAGAAGAAATGGACCAGTACTTAGAAACATACAACCTTCCTAGACTGAATCAAGAAGAACTAGAAAATCTAAATAGACCTATCAGCGGTATGGGAATTAAAACAATCATCAAAAACCTACCAAAAAGTAAAAGTCCAGGACTTTTCACCAGTGAATTCTACGAAAATTCAAAGAAGATATAATACCTATTCTCCTCAAACTCTTCCAAAAAAATCAAAGAGGAGGCAATACTTCCCAACTCATTTTCTGATACCAAAACCTGGTAAAGATAACACAGAAAAGAAAACTATAGACCAATGATCACAGATGCAAAAATCCTAAATAAGATACTACCGAACCGAATACAGCAACATATGAAAAAGATTATACACCACAAGCATGTGGGCATCATCCCAGGGGCACAGGGATGGTTCTACATACCCCAATCAATTAATGTGATACACCAAATAAACAAATTAAAAAATAAGAATCATACGATCATATCAATAGATACAGAAAAAGCCTTCAGCAAGATACAACATCCAATTATGATCAAAAAACTTCACAAAATCAGTATAGAAGGAAAATACCTTAACATAATAAAGGCCATATATGACAAACCCTCAGCCAACATGATACTTAATGGTGAAAAACTAAAAACCTTCCCCCTAAGATCAGGAACAAGGTAAGGCTGTCCATTGTCACCACGGTTATTCAATATAACATTGGAGGTTCTAGCGAGTGCAATCAGAAGAGAAAGATATAAAAGACATCCAAAAAGGAAACGAAGAAGTCAAATGGTCACTATTTGCAGATGACATGATCCTCTATTTAGAAAACCTTAAAGATGCACAAGAACACTACTAGAAACAATAAGCAAATACAGTAAATTTCCTGGATACAAAATTAATGTTCAAAACTCTATAGCGTTCCTATACTCTAATAATGAAGTGTCAGAAAAAGAAGAAAAAATAATTCATTTTGCAATTGCAACGAAAAGAATAAGAAACCTAGGACTAAATCTAATAAAACATGTGAAGGACCCATATAATGAAAACTATAAGATTCTACTGAAAGAAATCAAAGAAAATACAAAGAATTGGAAAGATATTCTGTGTTCTTAGATTGGAAGAATCAACATCATTAAAATGACCATATTACCTAAAGCATTATACAGATTTAATGCAATCCCCATCAAAATCCCATAGGCATTTTTTAAAGAAATGGAACAAAATAGCATCAGATTTGATGGAAGTACAAAAGACCCTGAATTGCCAAAGCCATCTTGAGAAAAAAGAACGAGGCTGCAGGTATCACTCTGCCTGACTTCAAATTATACTACAAAGCAACAATAATCAAAACGGCATGGTAGTGGCAAAAAAAAAAAAAAACAGACACACGGACCAGTGGAATAGAATCAAGAGTCCAGAATTATACCCATATTTATATGGGCACATAATTTTCTACATAAAAGCCAAAAACATACAGTGGAGAAAGAAAAGCCTCTTTAATAAATGGTGCTCGGAAAACTGGAAAGCCACCTGCGAAAGAATGAAACTAGACTGTTGTCTATCACCACACACCAAAATTAACTCAAAATGGATTAAGGACCTGAATATAAGACCTGAGACAATAAAATCCATAGAAGAAAACATGGGAAATAAATTCAAGGACCTTGGACTTAAAGAAGATTTTATGAATTTGACCTCAAAGGCAAGGCAAGTAAAAGCTGAAATAAATGAATGGGACTACATCAAACTCAAAAGCTTCTGCACAACAAAAGAAACCATCAACAAGTTAAAGAGACAACCATCAGAATGGAAAAATATATTTGCAAGCAACACCTCCGATAAGGGCCTAATATCCAAAACATACAAAGAACTCATACGACTCAATAACAACAAAACAACAAATGATCCAATAAAAAATGGGCAGAGGATCTGAACAGACACTTCTCCATAGAGGACATACAAATGGCCAACAAATATTTGAAAAGATGCTCCACATTGGTATCTATTAGGGAAGTGGAAAACAAAATCACAATGAGAATCAACTATATGGTAGCTGAAGGAAACTGGACTTTGGGTGGTAAACACAATAGAATATACAGATGTCAAATTATAATGTACACCTGAAAATTATATAATTGTATTAACCAATGTTACCCTAATAAACTTAATTTAAAAAAAAATCACAATGAGATACCATGTCACACCTGTTAGAATAGCTATAATCAACAGGACAAGTAATAACAAATGCTGAAGAGGATGCAGAGAAAAAAGAACCTAATTCATATGCTGCTGGTGGGACTGCAGATTGGTACAGCCACTATGGAAAACAGTATGAAGGTTCTCAAAAAACTAAGAATTGAACATCCATATGATCCAATAATCCTTCTACCTGTTATTCATCCAAAGACTTAAAAACTAATATACAAAAAGATATTTGCACACCGATGTTCAGAGCAGCATTATTCATGGTGGCCAGGACATGGAAGCAACCAAAGTGTCCTACAATAGATGACTGGATACAGAAGCTGGGGTTACACATACAATGGAATTTTACTCAGCCATAAGAAGAGATGCAATACTACCATTTGTGACAACATGGATGGATCTTGAGATAATCATGCTAAGTAAAATAAGCCAGACAGAAAAATTGAAACCCACATAATATCACTTATATGTGATGTGGGATATAAACCTAAAAGCAACAAATGAACAGGACATACAGAGACTCATGGACATGGACAATAGACCAGTGGTTACCAGAGAGGAGGGAGGAAGGGGCAGGAGCTGGTGTTAAAGGAGTCGTATTTGTGGTGACAGAAAGAAATCTAACTATGGGACGTGAACACACAATGTAAATATAAATATGCCTTACTGTTAAAATGTACAGCTGAAGCTTTCTGGATTTCGTTAATAAATGTCACTATAAAAAATTAATTTTAAAAAAGAGTAAAAAATTTAAAAAAGATATGGAGAGTGCAGTAAAAGGTACCATAGAAAACAGACTTGATTGGACCAAAATGCTATTAAAATAAAAATAAATATCTACATGCATATCTAAGTCTATAACTAATTTTTATGTCCTCAACTTCCAAACATTAATTTGAGGGGGTCTAAGAATAAAAGAAAATTACTTAAACCATACGCAAAGGTTATAGGTACACAATATCAAACTCCCAGACTAAAACTATTACGACTAATTATTATCTGAAGTGCTCAGATTCCTGGCAGTCGATGCAATGGAAAATACTATCCAATGAATTATATGATTCCTATTTGCCTAGGAGTATTCACAGAAGATAAGCAAACCTTGTTGAGAAACAAGAAGACCTAAATCATTCAGGAGGTTCTCATTATTAGAAGATTTCCCAAATTTCTACTCACGTAATTACAGATACAATGCAATTCAATCAAAATCCCAAAAGATGTTTGAGTGGAACCAAGCTATTTCAAAAACTTATATGGAAATGCAAAGGAATACAAATAGCCAAGACACTGTTGAGGAACAAGAAAGTAAGAGGACTTGCTCCAGGTATTATAAAGTCACAGTGAATAAGATAACATGGTATTGCTGCAAGGAGATACAAATAGAGCAATGAAACAGAATGTAAACATACACAGTCATTTGATTTTTTACTAAAATAGCATGTAGAATAATACAGAAAATATTAACTTTTCAGTAAATGATACTGGAGCAATTGGATACCCCCATGGGAGATAAAATGCAATTGAATCCCTGCCCTACAGAAATCAATTCCAGGTAGTATGAATACCTAAATATTAAAGCCAAAAACCAGAAAACTTAGGGGGAAAAAACACAAGAAAATCTTCATTATCTCAAGGTAGCAGAAAATTTCTTAAACAAGCACTAACCATTGAAAAAGATTTGATTACATTGAAATCCAGAATCTCTATTCATCAAAAGGCACCACAAAATGAAAAACCAATTCAGAGCAGAAAAAAAGTCACACATACAACTGACAATAGAATAATATGTAGAAGATACACACACACACATATATGTCAACTGCTATAAATCAGACAAAACCACCCCATTAACAATTGGCAAAATATTTGAGCAAGCATTTTACAAAAGAGGACATCCAGGTAGGCAAGAAATGGAGTTTGATTTTATTGCTAATAAAGCAAATATCAATTAAATGTGATAACATTAACATCTACCAAATTGGCAGAAATTAAAAAGTACGATGATGCCAGGGGCTGGCATGGATGTGGAGCAAAAGAAACCTTCGTAAATTGCTTTTACAAGTAAAGAAATTTACACAGTATTTTCAGAAAACAGTTTGACACTGTCTAGTAAAATTGAAGATGTATAAACCCTATCCCTCAGCAATTTAATCACAATTTTAGTACAAATAATAAACACAAGCACATATGTCCCAAAATATGCACACAAAATGTTCATAGTCATATTGCCTGTAATAGCTAAAAACTGGATGCAAATCTAAAGTCCATGAAGAGTAGAATAAATAAGTAGTAAATTGTGATACTATCATACAATGAGATAGTATATATACAGCAATGGGAAAAAGTGAACTGTAATTATGGAATATGAGTGAAGCTCACATTTTTTATAAAAAGACAAAAGAATGTCTATTTATACAAAGATTAAAAAGACAAAAACAATCTAGATGATTTTGAAATTCATACATAGATATGAATTTCTAATAAAAGGCAAAGAAATGATCACAGTGGTTATCACCAGAGGAACACACTTGTTCGTGATTGTGGAGGGGCACATCAGGGCTTCTTTAAAGATGGCTGTCTTCTAGTTCTTGATCTGGCTATTCCTTATATGGGTCTTTACAGCTATTTGTTAAACTACATAAATAAGTATTATATGTCATTTCTGTATCTAATTTGAAAGAAAAATAATAAGCCACTGACATTCAAATAAATATGCACTTCTAAAAATGTTTCAAATATTAAATTATATGGGAAAATACTTAAACATAATTTATGTGAAAATGTAGGCTATAATATGGTAAATACTGAATGAATTCAATTTTTAAAAATCACATTTTATATTTGTATATAAAACATAATGAGAAGAAAATAGTAAAAAGTCACTGGCTTAAAAACTGATAATTAAAATTTTCTCCATTGGGTGTTGCCTGTACTTTTTAAATTGTTTAAAATAATCATGTTTTACTTGTATAATCAGAAACTATTATTTTTAAAAGACAACATAAAGAAAAATTAAACCATTTGACAAATTATTAAGAAAAAATCAGGTGTGTGTGTGAGTTAGAGTTAGGAGCCAATCACATTTTCTCAAAGGGGAAATTCCAGAGATCAGGTCTTGCAGGCAAGAATTTTCAAAAGGAAAGCAAGTCATGTCCAAATGAAGAAAAGGAGATTTCAGGAAACAAGGGGAAACGACCAGCTACCTTGCAGGTGCCTTGTGGATGTTCAACAGCCATTCTTTACTCTAGAAGCCTCTGTGCAAGCACAGCAGAGCTGGGGAAGGAGAAAGGAGTCAGAAAACAGCAGGCTCTTCTTTCTGGGAGCCCAGTCAACCTACCACCCACCACCTGCAGATGTAGGTCAAACAAAACTAGGGCCTCCTGCTCAATACCAGCATTACAGACAAGTGCAGGGTCACTGCAGTTCTGGGCAGAATCTGTTCCTGAGCTCACAGAGGTCTGTCTCCAGATAGCTG